TTTAGGAGCCCAGTCTGTGGTTTGGTTTATGGGTCGATTGGGGTGCTGCGTTTTTCTATCAATTTCCCTGTGTTTTGACTAAACAAACTAAGATGGATTGATGACCTTTATACTTTGTTCAGACAAACGACATCGTGAAACATTTAGGGGGGAAGGTTGGCTTTAATCGACGCACCTGCCTCGAATCAGGGTACAACGTGGAGCCAATGAAACAGTTGTGGCAACGTTAACGATGCGGGTATCCATTTCCCGCGCCTTTTCTGGAACGCTACTCAATGGTTTACTGTAGCGGTGCTTTTGGCACGCATTTCAAAACGGACACTGCACATTAATTAGTTTGTTTCTGTGGAAAATGGGTTTATTCAAGCATGACCTCTTACACTCTTAAAAGTCAGGGTCATTCGACTCAGTATCCGGTTTAGATTTGACCTGATATTCTTCTAGGTCAAAATGACATTTTTTTGGTGTCAAAATGACACTTTTCCGTGTCAAATGGAACGTTGTTCAGTTACGAACATGTGTTTTGCTGATCCATATTAAGAATAGATTTAGTTCTTGATTTATATACTTATAACATTAGTTTTGTACTAGTATGTAAGAAACAACCTTGAATAAAATGTCTTATTCGAATCTGACCTGGGAATTTTAATACTGTGAAATTATTTGAGCAATTATGTTGTCAATACAACTTTTTCCCACGGCTTCTTTTTTCATCTTTAAAAAAGTATATACTTGATTATATTTGCCTTTGACGCGAATCTTTGTCTATTGCGTCACATCTGTTATTTTGCACATTCACAAAATACATAGTAACACATGTCCTATGGACCAAATGTATAAAGCTATTGGCCATTTTGTATTTTTCCGCTTTTTTGACTCACCCTGTATATATCTACAGAACCATAGGTCCGATTTGGTTGTAACTTGATAATATATACCGGAATGTGTTATACATTTTTTTTTAAAGTGACGTCATGCTGCCGTCATAACATGTCATGTGACCTCACATTAAAGGGTCATTTTTCTGAGGCCTATATCTAGAGAACTAAAGGTCCGATTGAGTTGTAACTTGGTGTTATTGTGTTATACATGATATGCAGTGACATCATGACGAATCATTTCGTCACCACGTGTGACAGAGCAATTTCAAAAACAGACGAAACAGCTAGTGTTCTTACACGAACACTTTTCTAGTTTTAATTGATTTCTACTGCATTTACTGTAGAGATTATAATCGCACTATATAAGAAGCTAAAAAGTAGGCCAAATCTTAAACTCATGGGTCCCCAGTCGCATTACGCATCATAGGTCTCTGGGAAAAAGGCGGGGACGTCTGGAACATTGGGGAATTTATCGTCTCTCCAGATTGCGTAAAATTCAATTTCTGTTCATTCGTCTCAATCGCTGGCAGCGTGTTCGTAAAACAAACACGGACGTGGTGGCATGGAGGGTGAACTAAGCATTTAATCTGTCTGGAAAACGGTCCCCTAGAAGAGCTCAAGCACGACACTGTATTCCTGGGGTTTCCTTGACGGGGTATCCAAGCCGGCGTGAGCCCTCCAGATAAATCACATCGTGCAATATTTATCCGCGCGCCCAATCAGAACCTAACCAAGCGCATCTCCAGCCAGCCGCAGCGCGCCAAAAACGAGGTAGCAGCACAACTTCAAGGCGGGAAATGACGACCTGATTTTACCACGCGTAGTTGGTGTTGACCTTTTGCTCCCTTTCGACCGGCCATCGGACGGAGTTTCTTGCAATATTGTTTGGTCATTCTTGGTCTTTGGATATAGAGGTCGCAAAAGTTCAGACTTTTTTATGTTTGTATAGACAGACGGCGTAACAGTTGTCTATCACAATCTCCACGTTCTGACGACAAAAACCAACACAATGACGTTGGGAGTTCTGACTGAAACCAGAAGTGCTGACAGACTGAATCGCGCGCCAAACTATAAATAAATGTTGTGTTTTCCGCGACTTGTCTTGTTATAGACTCGGTTCCCTGTCGAACCAAACGCTTGACATTTTGCGGCTTAAGAACGAAACTAGCAGTTTAACACAATACAAACAGATAGGATCAAGGCAAGAAGGCTGTAATGTCACACTATTCCGTGGTGCAGTTTGCGGCGAGACTCAAGACACTATTTAACCGTTTCAGATGTCAGTCGGCGCTGGTCAAATTTCCTTTTAAGACACGAGAACTGTCAATGTTGCTGTACACAAAATAGAAATTCTTTAAAGGGCCCATGCAATGCAATTTTTTTAATGCAATCCTAGAAAATGCACATTTGTGTCCCGTTTAACCATATTTTCAACTTTCGTTTTGCCATTTTCAAGGGTATTTTGGTGCCTTTTTGGCTTTTATGCTAATTCAAATTTCCATATTCATGAGCAAAAGTGTGATGTTAATTCAGGCAGAAACCTCACTGTTACAGCAAGTTCAGCACCAACTGTTCCCAGAATTTTGGATATTTTGACGACATAAACTGTTCTTTGATGATTCGTTGTTGTCAGCACATGGCAGTAAGCCAATGGCCATACTCACAATGTTTTCACTGAGTACATTTTGGGGTTGACAATTTGAACAGGAAAGCCCTAAACTGCACAGTGTCTTCCTGAAATGGCATTACAGCAACAATTGTCCGGAAAAGCATGGATAATTTTAAATGTGTAAAGAATTGCACCTTTCAACCAAATTAACCAAAAAGGGATGTCTAATAGTTTTCATAAATTTTGAGGAGTAGAAAGTTGCACAAAATGTGTTCCTGAGAAAATTTCATTCCATAGACCTTTAATACGTTTCTGTGGTTACAAGTTAATTGTTTGAATACACTATTACCAACGATGAAAGCCAACGCCATGTGTATTGTCTATTGTTTGGTACTAAAATCATTCATTTCATTTCGAAGAAAAAATCTGCTTCAGAAAAGTCGATTAAATTCTAATTTCTTGTTTCATTATTTGTTTGAATGGTCATCACCATCACCTCGGGCAAAACGTTAGACCCTGTTACCTTTAAAAAGTCCCAGTTTCCTGTTACATGTAGTTACATTATAACTTATAGACATGCGGGTCTATTGTAAATTGAAACAGCATATTTTCAATTAATTTATTTTTAGAAAATCCCATTTGGGTTGTCTTTCCAATGCATCTATTACAGGTGTCATTTTGGCCATCCTTAAATTGGAGACACCGATTTCCTGCGATCCTAATATGCCCTTTCTGTTGCTGTCACCACAGATAATCGACAACTGTTTGCGATTGCTTGCGGATGCATTGCGACTTGCGACATTTTTAACCCTTGGTGTGATGTAAATGCTGTATTTGGCTTATTACCTAATAATCAAGCGTTATGTCATGAGTTAAGAACTCTTGGAGCGAGTAGAGCTGGCAGCTATGCAAGTTGGGCTGCACAAGAATTCAGCAAAAACCAAGTGTATGGTATTCAACCAAGATCATGTTGAATTGAAAACACAGAATGGCAGCCAGCAGGAGATTGTAGATGGCTTCAAGCATCTAGGATCATGGGTCAGGAGCACAGTGGGCAAGATGTTAAAATCAGAAACGCTATGGCATGGACAGCTTGTAATAGGCTAAATAAGATACGGCAATCCAGACTGTCAAGAAAGATAAAGGTCAAAAGTCTTCCAGGCAACTGTTGAAAGTGTTCTCCTCAATGGAGCAGAAACCTGGACAATAACAACAAAACTAAGAAAGTCAATTGATGGTTGCTACACCAGACTGCTTAGGTCAGCACTCAACATCAGCTGGAAGAGTCACACAACCAATCCAGAGCTCAACGGACCACTACAACTAACAACTACTGTCGAGAGGAGACTGCTCCAGTTTGCAGGGCATTGCAGAAGATCCAGTAACCAAGCAGTGGCCAGCTTGATTCTCTGTGGCAGCCAACCTAAGGGAAACAAAACGTGGGATGACCAATGACTACATATGTTGATACACTCTGCCAAGACACCCAGCTACAACCAAGGGAAATTCATAGTTGCATGATAGAAAGACAATGCTGGACAGACATCACTAATGTCCGACGGAAGTCGCCAGAGTAAAGAGAGAGTAATGTAATGAGTCACACTTTCTCTAAATGCTCCGAATATATTGTCTGATTATTGCTAAACCTTTTGCAACATCTCTTAGAAGTACAAGAATTCGGTTCTTCAGAATGTATCGATCTTTATAATGTTACTATATCAAGGATAAAGTGCATTACGTTCATCAACAATCCCTTTTTAAAAATCATTTCCGAAATGTTGTGCTGGTTGATGTCGCTGATAACCAATGTGGCTTCATGATGACATCAATTGTGTTCGTGGGACCGACCTTCACCGATTGGAAACAACACCCTGTACCAAGGCACTGCAGAAGGAGGGCAAAGTCATTGCTTTCTGCAACACCAAGACTCGCAAATGGGGAGACGAGGCGACCTTGCTAGGTGCTGATAGTTGGTGGGAAGGTGTTAGCATCCATCAGGGCTAGATGTGACATGCTAAATACCCGCGCCACACCGGCCAGCTGAGGCTAGCCTGCACTGGGTGCTAACTGGGGCATCTGGACCCCTGTTTGTCGGCCTAATGTTTGCTCTAAACACGGACCATCCTTTCCAAAGATTTCTAGGCAGTGAAAGGTGTCGACGAAAGTTTGGTATTGAAAAAAGTATGCGATAGGCCACACATAAAGATAGCTTTCGGCCCATTATATTTCTACCCATTATATTAAATTCTCACATAGCTTTCTGCACATCATATTGCTTAAACGTCTCATCATACTTGCTCTATGGTCTCATTTACCTGAAAGAATATTATACGAATTTATGAAGAGTTGTGTGCAAGGTTTGTCGGCCTGAAGTGCCAAATGTAGCCTGTGAGGCCTTTTTAAAATGAAGAAAAACAATTTACATAGTTTATTTGGAGCCACACATCAGTGTAGAGTCGCCTTGTCGGCAGGCCTCGCCGGTAAATAAAAACACGGATGGCAAGCTTCTCTCATCTCCAAAGTTGATCTATTCTTTATTGTGCAGGGCCCTTACGTGTTTAAGGCTCAATTAGTAAACAACTTAACGGGCTAGGGCATTTTTTCACACACTTTTCCATTACAAAAGTTTCCGTTTTAAGAATTAGATTTAAAAAATAATGTAGTACAGATACATACCCCGGTATCAGGTTCAAAAAAGGATATTACTTGATTCACAGCTCCTTCAGGTCAGTTCAAAAACAGGGGTAGTCGCAAGAAAAGCTTGAAAACGTAACCTGCCAATGCAAAAAAAAGGCTATGATTCGATTTTCTGTATTCGATAGTCGAACACTCGTACTGACTATAAAACGTGGTAGCCGTTTTGTGTACACATCCGAAATGTATACATTTTGGGGCGAATGTATACATTTCGTGGGGCAAATGTATACATTTCGTGGAGCTGAAGAAGTATGGGGCGCATATAATAACAACATTAGTATGGAGCGCCTCGATGATTTTCGCTGATTCCCCACATATACTTCAATCTTTAAACTAGAACCCCCTCCCACAAAAAAAGAGACCAAAACACTGAAATAAACAAACAAAAACTGCCTTTGACTTGATTTACAGGAAAGGGAGGCTGCGAACATGATTGGGCAGGGATTAGCAAGGGGTAAGCATGGTGTGGCCGGGGGAATGCTTTCGCTGTTGTCTCGGGCTGAATGGGCCGTGGTCTGGAAGGTTGTCGAGTAAATCTGGTTTATGAAAGAAGACAGGTATAGGCCAGTACTTGCATGGCTATTGCAACTGATTATATTTATTTGGGTTGATGATAGAGGGCTTGCAGGCCACGCTAGGGGCATGGATAGACAACCATGAAAACAGGTAAATTAAAAAGGCTTGTTCTACAAACCTTGTGGGGTTATGAGGCTTCAAAAAGAACCAATGGACACTTGGTGGCGCTCTTTATCGAAGAAATTGAGATTCGACATAATTTTGTGCGTTGTGCGCATGTCGTATGTGTATATGCTATCACACGAGACAGTGAAGTGGGAGACCGCCTACGGACAATGACCTTTAAACTTGTGACGTCACTCTAGTGTCGATTATTTCTAAGAATGTACAGTTATCTGTACATTCTTATGGATGCACCATTCTTAAAAAGGATGCACACTCAACTGAAGATAAGTTGTGAATCAACAGGCTTTAATGTGAATAGCCCCTGCAAACAATTCCATACATAAATGGAATTAATTGGAAAAGTAACGGTTTGTAAAATTTTCAAGTTATTTTGAAAAAAAAAGGTTCCTGACTTAATAACAACACCAAAATTTCGTCGCAGATTTAAGGAATCTTTTACAGTAATAAAAACAGTGTATTTTCGTGCTGGCCAAGACCAAAAAAACCCAGAAAATTCAAAAAAACTTTGAGCAAAATACAGCTAAACTACAACTATACCTCTCCGTAAACTGCTTAATTTACAGAGTATTTCCAAAAAGATTTCGTCTCAATTTAAGTATTTTTATACAGTGCACTGCTTTGATGTTGCCTGTCAGCATTTCGGTTATTTCTTGAATTGTGTCTGACACAATGGAATGTTCTCTGCATTTTCATTTTGCCGCTCAGATATTGCAATTTTGTCGGTTACGATTATGGATTCAAAGTGAAATAGTATAAAATACTCTCCCTTTGTAATTTTATTTTCAATATATTTTTAGTTTCCAGTATTTTTAATTCTTATTTGTTTACTTACATGAATTATTTATATTTTAATGTTAAAACTGAAAGTCATGTTTTATTGTTTGTCAATTATTTTTTTTAATTTCTAAAATTAGCTTTGTAATGATATTTACTGAATTTCGCGTTTTCGCTTTCAGTTTTTTGTGTGTTCATATCTTAACCCATTTACTTACAGTTTTATTATCACTCTTTCTTTGTTATTTAAGTAATGACCCGTAAAAATAGAACAAAAGAGACATTTCGATGACAATTATAGAAAATAGATACGTAACTGAATAATCAAATTGACTGCCAGAAACTTACCAATCAATACTTCTCAGATGATATTCCAATGTTATGTAATTTCCAAACAAAATAATTCCCGTGGTGACTGAGATATTTCGATTTGTACTCCATGTCTTCATCTCAGTGGACAAAGTGTTCTACAAATAAGCTGCTCGCCAAACTTCCTTTTGGTTGGTTTAAAAATCCTCCATCCCGTACGCTCGCATCGATATCATTTTAATAGTTTTGTAATTCAGTATAATGTGCTAGCTGCAGCACTAACATACATGTACATGTATAATTCCATCAGAGATACATTGTGTTTGTACTACAAGCGACCAATGGCGTCTGTATGTATGCAACTCTGCATGCATCATCGTGAAGAATGCAACAAAAGTTGTACACTGAAGCGCATAATGAGGGCCCTGGATAAGGCTTTTACCCAGCTATCCATTGCTGAACAATGGATCGAATTCATATCATACCTCAAAGCATTAATAAGAATCAACGCTTTTTGTTCCCTTGTTAATTGGAAAATAGTTGCAGGAGGGACGTAGTTTAAGTCGGAGAAACGACTCAAAAGGTTGAGATTCTTTGATTCAAAAGGGCTCAGACGCTGCGCGTCCTTGCCCATTCGAATCGAAGAATCTCCACTTTTTCGTCATTTCTCCTTAACATAATATCATTCAGGTTGGGTGTACAAAAAAACAAACAAAAACACCATAACTAACAAACAAACAAACAATAACTGTTTCTGAGCCTCATTACCACGTGTCCTTCAGTTCAAAACCTTTTGTGTGGAGGAAATAAAAATACATTCAAGCTTGCTGGAGGAGACAACATATTCAGAGAACAGACAAAGTGTTTCAATTAACAGTTTTATTGTCAGAAGGGAAACATTGTTGTTTTGACCATGATTCTGAATTGCACAGGTGTAACTCACAACCGTTGTATATAGGAAATTAAGCTTTGGTTAATCGGTTGATCGTATAAGCTCTATTTTACTGACAGGTATACACGTGTTAATGATTAGCCGCTTTGTTTTTAATAACCAAACTTTAAGATGTTCAAAGATTTATTTAGGTTCAAAAACAGACTGGTATTTTATGATATCGATGCACCAAGATTTCAATATAAAAAAATTCCCAGTTTTCTTGTCACCTTGCCAGAGGCCAGCTGCCCGCCCTATTAAGCAAAACGGAAGGTCTTCATGTTTTTCACGCTCTGCGGAAATGCTGTGCTTCCATTCGCTCTGATCTAATATTCGGCTCTTTTTTTCCCTTCCTTCTGTCAACTGAGCGGCGCTCTGGTAACCACCACTAATTCACCATGGAGAGTGTGGATGATGTTAAGCAGCTAATTAATTGCTCCCGATATGCCTTGCACTTCCAGAATGGCTTGACATTGTAGTCGTGTTCCCTGTCCACTCATTAAAGATTACATGTACATTTAGCTCAAGGGCCCAACTATGAGGCCCAGGTGGTTTGGTAACACCTCTGTTTTTAACGGAGAGGTCGTGCTGCAATTATTATTGCGTTCATGAAGTGCCTAGCTAGCGACGTTTAGAAATGGATGGCTCAATATTGTGTAAAAAAGAAAAGAAAAAAAGATAGGAAGCAAAAAAACAACCTATGCTAGTGTGGGGAATTAGCGAAAATCATCGAGGCGCTCCATACTAATTTTGTTATTATATGAGCTCCATACTTCTTCAGCCCCACGAAATGTATACATTTGGGACACGCATGCCAAAAAAACCAGCTACCACGTTAGTCAGTTCGACTAACGACTGCAGACTTTTAATGTAGGCCTTTTCTCATTGTCGGGCTACATACGTTCAAGCCTTTGATGAGCCTAGATCTCTGGTGTTGAACTGAGCTGTGAACCAATCAAGAAATGACCTGATACTGGGGTATGTATCTGATTCTGTACTACATTATTTTGAAATCTAATTCTTAAAACGGAAACTTTAGTAATGGAAAATTGTGTAGGCCTAATATGCCCTAGCTCGTTAAGTTGTTTACTAATTGTAATTTCAGGGTTCTTATTTTTCTGCATCATCACTGAGCCTTAAACACCTTTTGTGAGGGCCCTGCACAAAAAAAGAAAGAAGAAATTTTAGAGATAGAAGCTTTGTCATCCGTGTTTTAATTAACTGGCGAGGCCTGCCGACGAGGCGACCCTGATGTGTGGCTTTACCGCTACACTAGTATTAATACATTTGCAAGGACTGTAAATGTGATTGAGGATTGGGCGTTACACAAAAGAGAACTTGAAATTCTACTATAGAGACAATTCATTGTTTGCTTGCTGATTGAGAATCCTGTGTTGTCATGACAACTAACTACTGTATGGCCTATGTCGATCAGAATCGGAGCAGTGATACACAGTGTTCTCATCACGTGACAAAAAGGGTTGAGATGAGTAGCTTCACACTTCAGCAAAGGGACTGGGGAGTAAGAAGGGGCTCATAACAGCGACGTCAGATTAATCAACCAACGACCATCAATTAGAAAGCTGGTGAAAGACAGTAGCCCGATGGGGGTTCCCGCTTCCTGAGTCTCCCGTCTGTAATGGACACATCAACACCTCTCGGTTTGTTCTTGATCTTATCGCAGGGCAAACTATTATCCCCTTCCAATTATCACTAAATTGATTTGTCATTCGATTGGTCATATTCAAGGATTAAAGGCAGGGTCATGGATAAATGATGGATGATTCCATTACTCGAAATTGTTTTTTTTTTAGGCAAAAAGCTCAACATTTAATAAGTCCTCATTGATTTCGCATACGGTCCCTATAATATGCGCAGAAAATGACAAAACAATTTCATACAGAGGTATCCAACTTTGTTTTTACTGTAACCTTGTAATGATCAATTGCTTAAAACATGTCAAGATGAAAAGATTCCATCAGAGTCAATTAAGCTTGCCATTGTTCAAGTCTCTATCGCTGAGTCTGGTCAGTTCCTGCCTTCTCACGTTCCATCTCTGTGATGGGGACCAGAGATCCCCGCGTCCCGTCTCCGTGCCAGTCAGCACGCTGCTTGCTCCCTCTCTCGTCAAACCTCGTCCTGTGACAACATTTACTCAAGTTGAGCTGCCTTAAAGGTTGGGCCTCATGAGGCTGCTAGATCTCCAGCCAACATGCCTGGTGTATTTTGCAACAAGCTTCCCCCTTAGGTTCCCGAGATTGACTGACAGATCAGAAGGGGGGGGGGCGCTATACCCTAATGCGTGCACCCATGAGCCGTGTGGGCAGGAAGGAGAGGGGAGCAGGTCCTTCTGTATGAGCGGCTTCTCCTCACATGCATGTTATGAAAGGAGTTTGGTCAAGAATTTCCTGTGCTGCTTCCCCTAGTCAGGCCGTCAATCGACAAAAAAATTCCCCTCTCTTTTGAGTTGATAGAGGCTCAGGCCGGCGGGAGAGGGGAGGTGTTGACAGATGTGCTTGTCACACGTCAGGTGATACGCGGGAAACTTCCGCGCCATCTGAAAGTAGTTTGGCGCGTGGCGGCAAAAGGGGTAGCCGTGGCAACATGTTTGCGCGGGAGTAGCTATGGAGGACAAGCCAAAGAGGCTACGGGTCCACACGGCACAGCAAAATATCTGGTTGAGGCAGGATAAGAGTACCGTAAATAACCGATGTCTGGAGTATTTCAGATCTAATTCGTTCTGAAAATGGATGACGAATCTTGATCTGATGCCGGCCGCCTGCATGCCGTTTCACTTTCGTGGTTGCGGATTGATCGAATGAAGTCCGTCCGGCCATGTTTTGAACCCGCGTGGACCCTCTGCCAAACCGTGGGCGTGTCTAGGCTTCAAAATGTGGAGGTCGGATTGGTTGGGACGATTTCGTCGAACTGACACGTCATTGTTCGTAGGACGTGATTGGTGGATTGGGAAGGGACCTGTTGGTTCTGACTTGTCAAGTGCTGTTGGACTGTCAATTTTTGTTTTACAACTTTGCAGCTAGTATTGGACTTCATTATTTCATTGGAAAAACAATCTAAGGTATCTTTATGTAATCGTACTCATATTGTAATGGGAGACGTTCCTGCAGAAACGAAGGACATCAACATCTTCACAAAATAAAACAGCAAACGACTACTCAGAATACACAATTCGGGTAGGCCCCAGAGGTGTAATTGTTGTACAACCCAACCCCCTTTTCATTGTGCCATCACAGGGCGCTTACATAAACCTCCCCTATGTACATAAACCTCCCCTACGCCCCAGCTAAATGATCATGTTGGATTGAGGATTGGGATCAGCTTCTACAAGATGAATCTTGATTTCAAAATACTTCATTCTGACATCATAGACTATGCTTATCAGTAATCACAAATGTTGTCTTGAGGTTTGGTCTGAGATTAGATAGTACTTGACTATTGACAGATACCCAAACTATTTTGATTGAAGTCTTCCATTGGACTAAAGATCAATCAGATACCCGTTTCATTGGTAAAATCAGTTTGTCAGCATCGTTCAGATAATCTGTCACGGGGCTATTGTTTTAAACAAAAGATGCCACAATGTTGTCGCGATTAAAATAGGACCAACATTTATGAATGTAGGATAGCGTGCTCAGAATGGTCTGTATGCGAACTCTTATTTGAATTGACTTCTGTTTTTAGTTGAGGTGTAGCATATTACTTTTGGGACTGTTACAATTAACTATACCATCGTTCAAGAAACAGTATCCAGTGGCCACTGCAGTTTGTCATTTTTGTGTGTAAAAGCAACTCCAGCAATATCTTTTAAAAAGTTGAAACTGCGTCCCCCTTGGTATGGCTGTGACACATACACGCTGTTGGTCTGATACTAATGCGGATCGACAGATTGCCACGATGTCTGTTGTGCCCTAGCATAAAATATGATTACTCAACGTGCAAGGACTCAGGCCTCCTTCACGCCGCCTGGGCCGCAGCGGAACGCTCCTTGCGCCGCCGGGCCCATGCCGCTGGGAAACGGCCAAGATTCGGTGCCGAGATGGTGAGTTTCCTCTCGTTAATGTCGAGCTGCAACTCTGCGCTGACACGTCAGTACAGGTACATGATTGAGCTTGCTAGACCTTTCATAACGTTTGTGCCTCACGTATCTGGATGAAAAAAAAATGCTTTCTGCGTCTCGGCACCACTAATAGTCTGCATTTTCTGCTACACCTGTCAACGCTTTTCTAAAAATACTACTCAAAGAAACTGGCAAAGTTGCAGTTTCTATATATGGCATAACACATTTTGAATTCTGTTTCACAAAAGGTACTTTAGGCCTATAAACGAAGTTGTGAAACTGATCTTTTTTAACTCAAACTCCTTGCATAAAGCCACTTAA